CTTGAATCTCATCAAAATCAGAAAAAAGATTGATTTTTTTTTCAATCTTTTGAAAGTTACAGAGATTCCCCAAAGCTGAAGAAGTAATTAACGGATGAGTTTGCCTACTTCCTGCAGGGTGGGGTCCAACCCATCTGGAAAACACTGAGGTCTGATGACTTACCAGGTTTTATTGTCAAGCAGGAGTGGTCTCAGATTCTTAAATCTCTCTTGACATTCAGATTCTTGAATGTCAAGAGAGATTTCACGACACTGAGGATACCACCTGAGAGGTGGGGTTCTGAGGGCTGGGGTGATGTCCTAGACTCTGCAGTCTCTGGAAAACATCTGATATTTCATATTCTTCCCCTAGACAAGAGCTCATCAATTCCTAGACCTGAGTGAAGGCTATAATAGAGTCTAAGGAAAGTCGTTGGTTGGATCTCAAGTAAAGAATTGTTTCCAGGCCGAGTGTGGTGGTGCACACCTATAATCCCAATGACTCAGGAAGCTGAGGTAGGAGGATCCAAGACTGAGCCCAATCAGGATGATTTACTGAGACCTTGTATCACTGGGGATGTAGCTCAGTGGGTTCAATCCTGGGTTGAAGCCCCTGGGTTCAATCCCTCATATTGAAGGGAAAAAAAAAAAGTTGTTCTCAGGTCTGTCCCACTGCATTCTCTCATCTATAATTGAAACTGTGCTGGTGAATGTCCAGGAACCTCCAAGTCATGATGTAGGGGAAGATGGCACCCGGAGTGTCAGAGGTGAACCCAGTTCCACCGACTGAAGGACCACCACTGACTCTCCCTCACTTTAACCAAAGACACCAGGGCACTATCACCCATCACGAGGACACCACAACCATCTGGGGCCATGTTGAGTGGACAGAGGATGAGGCCCAGAGTCCCTGCAGTCACATCTCCATGTTGCATTGGAATGACTTCTCATGTAGACTGAACTGTGTCCAACTTGTCTCTCAGCATCCATTCAAACTTTTTTAAACAATGCTTCCTCTTATCTCCTTTCAACTATCTACTCCTCAGCAGACTACAGAGGAGGCTGGCTCATGGCTTTTTACTGTCTAGTCACCAAAAGGGGTTCATCAGCTTTGATAAGGTCCTGAATGTGGAAAGCCACATAGATATGAGCAAAGCTGAGGAGGGGAGAGGTCTGATTTAAATCCTAGGATGACATGGATACGCTTCAACCCATTGGGTAGTATCTCCCAAACTCTGGCGGGGGGTGGCACCTACATAGACAAGGTATCGACAGAATTTGTTGACCATCAGAACTAAACTCTTCATTGTTTTGTATCTTTGCCAGCCCAATCAGCCCTAAGGACTGTGGCCAGATTACAAAAAAAAAAAAAAAAGTCCAACAGAAAAGTGAACCACCAATGATAACCATCTTGTGATTGTGACCAACTGCCTCCAGAATAGTTCTTAATGTCTCGAGTCTCAGCAGGAAACCACTGAATCTATAAAGTCCTGTCCAGCAGAAATGAGTGTGATTGTGGATGGCCTGGTTAACCTAGATTGCCTTTGGTGCCTGGGGGAGTTGATATTTTCTCATTATGAAGACTTGCCTATCTAGTGAACGCTGCAAATAAAACTGCTCGAATCAGTCTGCACGGCCTGTTTCCGTGGTAGCAGGCCTCTGTCTGGAGGATAAATCTGCACCATCTTCTTTTGTTTGGGTTTCAGCCAGTTGTGTTACAAGGGGTTCTGAGATGTGATGTGACACCCAACAAGACGAGCTCGGCCAGTTGAAGAGGGAAGCTTCGTCACGGATGGGACATGCACCCTTGGGCCAGATGGCAGTGTCCAAGGGAAAGTGATCAAAGAGATATAGAACGCACATGCCTAAATATTTATTTCAGTCGATCAGATTTCCCACACTTTTCAAATGTGAACTTGTGTCCTGAAGGTGGAGCTTTAGTACACAAGAAAATTGGGAAGGGGCAACCGTGTTTGTGCAAAATGAGGAAGAATCAGCAAAGAATGCATTTCCAGGCTTCCTAGTCGCCTACATTTTTCATGCCAAAAAGTAAGCACGGATTCTGATTTTCTTTCACTGTAGGAGTCTGCATACAATTAAACGGAAGGAAAAAGAAGGCTGCTTGCAAGAGTGGGGCTTATGGTCTCTTAGAATGAGGAGAAACTGTAGCCATCAAAGCCATTTTTACTTCTTGCTGGTAGTATTTTTAAGATGTTGTTTCTTTTTCAAAATGAGGCAGCAATGAATTGAGTAGTGATCAAAATGCCGCACCATAGCGTATGTCTAATCCAAATAGCTCCCTAGATGGTCTGCGACTGATTGTACCAACTCCATGGGACTTAGAGAAATGACTTGGTTACCAGTGAAGTAAAACTATCTCCAGGATGGAACTGAACGCTGCTTCTCAGCACATAACAACATTGCCACAGCCCATCCATGAAGACAGGAAAACGGATTGTGTTCATCACTCACAGGGACAACTGTCAAAAGACCAGCACATAAATCCCCTACTAAGCTGCTCAGGGGTCTGTGAGCTGAGGCAGAGGTTTTCTAGATCCACTTTTGTGTTTTCAGCAGTGCAAAAATTCTTCAGACATCCCAGGCAGGTGGGGAATGGGGGAGAACTGCCTGATTGTTTTGGAGCAGGTAAACCACCTGGTTTGCCTTGCCTAAGATCTCCTGGGATTAACCTGGGAACCTTCTTCCTCCACTGAGCTCCCACCAGCACTCCAACCACCATCCCCAACAGCAGAAAGAATGCCACTCTGGATTCAGCATTTGAGAGCCACTGATGAAGTGATCTTTTCCTTTTGGGGGGTGGGGTGCTGGGGATTGAATGGGCAGACTGATGCATGCTGGGAAAGTGCTCTACCACTGAGCAACACCCCCAGCCCTAATATAAGCCTTCAACGGGCCTCTAGGGCAAAAACCCAAGCATCTTGCCCACTAGCAGTGGAGAAAACTTGAAGTATTGTCCTAGAAATGCAAACCTTCAACAGCTTCTCCTTGCGCAAGACTCAGCCTCTGAGGAAACCTTTCCCCTTCCTGACCTCTCCCTCCCTCTCAGAGTCCTTGAAGGGCTCAGGGACTTGGAGGGCAGGAAGAAAAGGCAACAATAATCAGTTGCTCTCCCTGGAGCCCCTGACCTCAGGAAAAGCCTGGGAAGGAACATGGATAATGTCCCGAGCACCCACAGAGTTCCTGGCCCTTTCCCCACCTGCCGGACTGGAAGGGCAGCTGCCTCAGGATGCTGGGAGGCATTTGGGCACCCTCTGGGAAGACCTCTGAGAAATCATGAACCTACTTCCCTGTGCACAATGATTTGCTGTTTTCCATAAATTGCTGGTGGCTTGGGGGCAACGCAGCTGATAGTCGCTCCCTGGGTGAGGTGGCCAGACTTCAGGGTCAGAGGGAGAGCCTCTAGGGACACAAGAGTAACTGGCTCTAAAATTAGACGGTTGGCTGGGTAGGATGACATCCGTTGTTGCATTTGATTTGAGGAACTTTCCAGTCTCACCGCAAAGAATGATGTCGGAGGGTTATTGTATTGGCCACAGGTAGCACTTGACTAGCAAGGCGTGTGTTAGAGGATCTGGAGCTAGATGTGGATTCAAATCTCAAATCTGATGTTCACTAGCAGTAGGAGCCTGGCAAGTTCCATAATCTCTCCATGATCATTCGCCTCCATTGCTAAGTAGGAACAATAACAGTCACTAATTAATACGGTTGTTATATTAAATGAGTCTTAATCCTCGTGGTGCATTTAGAACAGCGCCCAGCACGTAATAAGTGCTCAGTAAATGTTAGTCGTGATCATTAGGGTTAGATAGTGAGCAGAACTTTCTAAGTGCTAGGTTTGAAAGCCTGGGACTCCGTTGCCAAGGGAGATTTGAGAACCTTTTCAAATATGGGAGCTCAGGCCCTGGCCCCAGGGATTGTCCAGAAAGAGAGTGTGTGGCGCCTGCTTTCCCCCTCTACCTCATTCCCCTGACCCTGGGGAAACCCACCCCCTGTCACAGGGGCGCCTTGTTCCCTCCAGCTACTGGCTTGACCGTGTCTGCCGCGCGCCTCCCCGGAGCCTCGCTCCCGCGGTTCCACACCTGTCAGCCGCCCTCGCAGCCTCCCCTTAGTCGGAGCCCTGGGCCTCGGCCGCAACCCCTTCGACCCTAGGTCCGGGTTCCCTGCTCCCCGCGCCTGGCGTATCCCCCCAGCTGCTCTCGTAAACAAAACCCGGGCGTTGGAGCAGCCCCGCAGGCGGACGAGCGCGGGAGCCCGCTCCGTGCGCGGTTAGCGCGCCCTGGGAGCCCCGGGCGAGCCAAGGGGCGATGGTGGCGGCCGCGGCGGCAGCGGCAGGGCGGCTCAGCTTTGTTATGAATAGATGAAAGAGGCCACCTACACAGTAACCCAAATTACGAGACCTCCCTCCTCCCTATCTCACCGAATCAAGAGGGGAGGGGAGATGGGCGTGGAGGGAGGGCGGGCAGGAGGCGGAGGGCGGAGGGGAAGAGGATGAGGAAGGGGGCCAGTTGCATCCCACTTTCACAATGGGAAAGTGAAACGCACAAGCGCACCCAACCTCTCCAGCCCTCCCCGCCCGCCTCGCTCCCCTCCGCCCGTCCCCTCCCTTCCCCTCCGCGCCTCCCCGCGA